AGATTTAAGCCAACACCGCTCCCCTGGAGCTGCCCTTGTCCCTTATGCTGGGTTCTGGACCAGATCCCGAAAAATAGCTAAGTGATGAGGCAACTTTTGCATCTCCAGCACTCTTGCCAGTGAATGGCCTTCTTTCATCGCCCTTTAACAATAAGTCACAGGTCCTTGCTCGCTAGTCGTTGGTGGGTTGTGTCTCTCAATCGGGAATTTTCCCTTCGGAGGGCAGGGCCCGCACAGTGGCCTCGAGGAGCCGGCAGCCATGGTGGCAACGCGGGGCTCTTTACGCTGAACAACGTGAGATGCCTGTGAGCGTCAGGCACCGAGGTCCATGAAACTCGGCTCTTCTTCCGAAGTCGATTCTCAGATACATGCATTAAACTGGGGGGGGAAGGGGGGTAGCGGGGGGGCCTTTCTCTCCCAGGGCCATGTGGGTGTCTATAACATCATTCTCAGGCCACACAAATCATCCACTAAAAACCAGCCTGCTCTGCTTGGTCAAACATTTCACTCACTCGCCCTCGTGCCTTGGCAGGGCCAGGCCACAGGATTTCGAGGGCCTGTATGGCCCGGGCCGGACGCTCCCCTCCTCTGCCTGAAAAGTCTGTTACGTAACAAAAACTGTCCTCTGACTCCTCCTGAAAGAAGCAGTTTTCCCCAATGAAGAGCAGCTGTGCCGAAACCCCAGCCCGGGCACTTTAAATGGAAGCAGATGGCGCCTGATCGAGCCCCTGACCATAGACTGCTGGTCGCCTCCTGTTTCTTTGTGGCCTGATTATCTTCTGAGAAAAAAAACAAGTTTCTTTTTTTTCAAATATTGATTGATCGATTTACTTTTGCTTAATCATTATGCGAGGATACTTTTCCTATTGCTAGAGAGAGTGGAAGGAAGGGAGCCACAAGGGAGAAAGAGAGAGAGACACTGATATGAGAGAGACACATTGATGGTTGCCTCCCATGTGAGCCCAGGCCAGGGAGGAGCCTGCAACCGAGGTACATGCCCTCGACCAGAATCGTACCCGGGACGCTTCAGCCTGCAGGCTGATGCTCTATCCACTGAGCCACACCAGCCAGTGCAAAAATAGTTCCATTTCCAATTCACTCGCAGGGGAGGCCTTCGGGGGAGACCTCCAACGGCCACCTTCCCAATGGCAACTCAGAAAGGGCGGGACCACGCAGTTCCCGCCCCACAGACGCCAACGCCACCCACCAGGAGCCCTCCTCCCGGATCTGACAGGTGCCCACTGCGCTTCGCTCAGCTGTGCCAAATGGCCATGTTTGCCTCCCAGTGTTTGGGTGCATGACGGCAGTTCTGAAACCTTATGGCTTTTTTCAGAAAAAGGACTAAGAATTTAAACAGTCAACCGTGAAAGGCAATCAGGGCACAGCCCTGTCCTTCAACCATGAAAGACAGAACACGTGAAAACAAAAGCACACGCAGCGCCCAAATCCAAGCCGAGACCGGAGCGCCCACCTGCAGCCTCTGGTGCCGCCTCGCAGGGAGGTGAGGGCTGGGCGGGCAACACACGCAGGGCCCAGTGCAGACTCGGGCGCCAGAGAGCCCGCCCTCCCCCACTCGGGGGCAAAGCGCTGATCTGGGCGGAGAGCTGGGCACCATCCGCAGACCTGAGCCTGGGGCAGCAGCGACAGGCATGCCCGTCGGCCCCCTGTCCCTCCTCGGGCCTGGCCCATGCCTGGACCTACAGCCACTCAGCAGGGACCTGGCCAACGAGGGAACCAGGACGGTGGCTTAAATGCAGCCCAGACCTACCCCTGGGGCTGCACTTAGTGTCCTGGGTAAGGAGTGAGGAGATGGGAGGGCACAGAGTCCCTCATCACATGTGGGTGTGTGTGTGTTGTGTGTGTATGTGTGTGGGTGTGTGTGGTGTGTGTGTTGTATGTGTATGCGTGTGGGTGCGTGTACACGCGTGCGCACAGGCAGACCCCCTCCCTTACCTGGTCCTTGAGCTCGGACAGCTGGCCCGAGAGGTTGGAGACGAGCTTCATGGTGGACTCGAGCTTCTCCTGCAGGTTCCGCAGCTCGTTCTGCTCGCCCTCCGAGTCGCTGCTGACCAGGGACATGGCTCTCATCCGGGGGAACCAGTCGAGGTTTCTCTCCTGGAATCGCGTGGGCAGAGAGTGGGTCACCTCGGGGAGGCGAGGCCGGGGGGCCGCGGAGCACCGGGGTCCCGGCCCCCTCGCGTGAGGCCCGCTCGGTCCGCAGAACGGGCGGATGCGGGTCGTTTTAAAAACCACGTCCCGAGTACCCTCTTAATTGAATGAATGGAACTCTCTCGATTCCTAGGATTCCTTAAAGTTAAACGTGGGGAAAGTTGGCTTTGAAACAGGTTCCCGATCTGCAAATATGAGCGCTGTCCTGGGAACCCGATCTTTGCAGACCACAGGGCTGATGAGCGTTGAGTTTAACATTGTGGTGAAACACCCCCCGGAACCGACCACCTTCCGCTCAGCTGCCCGCCCGGTGCCACCTGTGCACTCGCTGTCGCGCAGCCGTCACGCCACCACCCGGGCCTTCTCGTCTCCCCAACTGACACTCAGGTTTAAGAGAGAAAACCCAAGATCTCAGAGAAACGTCACCCTTGCTGCAGGCCATGTCGAGCCCCTGCCCGTCCCAGACACAGAGCGCGGACCATCCCCGTTCCTCCAGCACCAGCACCGGCAGGTCTGCCCGCCGGCGACCATCGAGGTCCCCCTTTGCCTGCTTCCCACCTTAATACCTAATGCAGAGCTGGGAACCCTCACCCCTAACCACACACACAGCCCAACTGCGGGCACCGCTGGCTCCTGCCCTGCGGGCGGTTCCCAACCTGAGGCCCTGGGTGGGTCCCTGGGGCTGTAAGTCAGGTCTCAACCCCCCAGCAGCACCTGGGAGTTAGAATCAAGGAGCAATTCTGGCCCTGGCCAGTGTGTCTCAGTGGATAGACCGTCGGCCAGCGGACTGAAGGGTCCCGGGTTTGATTCCGATCAAGGGCACATATCTGGGTTGTAGGTTCAATCCCCAGTGGGGAGGCATGCAGGAGGCAGCCGATCAATGATCTCTCTCATCACTGATGTTTCTCTCTCTCTCCCCCTTCTTCTCTGAAATCAATAAAAATGTATTTTAAAAGAAAAATGAGCAATTCTGGCCAAACTGCCTCTCAGTTCCACGTGGCTCTGACCCCAGGGCCCCTCTGCACGGAGTCCTAGTCTCGGGTGACCGTGTGGAGCCCACCCTGTGCCGAGTGCAAGGCAGAGACCACCGCACCCGCTCACTCTCTCCAGCTCCGACGGGCACAACACGCCGGCTTGTCTCGGCTAACGGCCCGGCCGCCTGCGCCCACGGCCCCAGCAGCCAGAGCCCGGGGCCTGTGACCATCGGCAGAATCCCGCCTTTACGCCTGTTCAAGATCAAAACCGTCTGGTCCCGGCTTTGGCTGCATTTTTTGGAAAAGTCATGTTCAGCCGAGACACTGTTTATACGTGAACTCATCCCGGGTGTGTGTGTGGTCGAGGGTGGGGCCGGGCGGCTCCGGGTCCCCTGAGCATGTGTCGCTGGGTCTGGCCGCCCCAGTGCATCCCCGGCCTCCTGGCTGTGGCACGGCGCATACCAATGTCGTTAGGCACCGTCTGCCCGGCCTGCAGTCCGGCCAGCGGTTCCCGGCACAGCCGCTTCCTGTGTCAGAGCACAGGCGACCGCAGCCACAGCCGGAAGCTGGCTGACCACAGCGCTAAGCGCTGGTGAGCTCTCTTCCAGGTAAAGCTGGAAAAGTCCCCACAGAGCCAGCGCTGAGGCCTCAGACGCGGGGG